TTTTGCCTATAAATTATAATATATGAAAGTTTGCCAAACTTCCTCTATGTTATTAAAAATTAAAAGAGTATGAAAGATATATTTACTAAGAGTTTTTTTTAATAAAATAAACAATTTTTTCTCCGAAAAATCTAAGCTAAGCCGCAGAGTAAACTTTTGCTCGCGAGCATGAACTCCTTTATCGGTGCGACTAGTGGCTAAAATATTAATTTTTCGCTGAAAAACTTTGCTTAAAATGGTTTCAATACACCCCTGAACGGTAAATTTATTCGGCTGGGTGGCTCAACCAGTAAAATCACTGCCATCATAGGCAATAGTAATTAAATAAAAGTAGAGTTTTTTCTCATTTTTCATTCTCCCAGGAAACTAAATCACCTGCTTATTGTAAATCCTTTTTTTTGTAATCCTTATAAGCCAAGGATAAAGTAAATGCCGCCAAGCAAATAATCACTCCCATGATGGTTAAAGTAGTTAAAAGATAATTTTGACTCAATCATTTGGAGATATTTTCGCCTCATTCTAGTATTTTCTTTCCCACCTCTCCCCCATGATAAAGGGCTTGGTAAACAGCAGCTCCTAAGAGCATAATAAAAATGACCGATAAACGACCAAACCATTTTAAAATAGTGTATCAGACTGAATTTAAAGAAGCCAAAGAAAACAAGAGAATAACTAAAGGAACAAAAAGAAGGAGAGGAATAATTAAAAAATTTCAGGCCAAGAAAAGAAGTGTTTGTAATCCAGTAAAATTACTAAAATAATTGGCTTTCCATAACAAGAGAGAAAGCGGCAGGGCAAACAAAACCAAATATAAAACTGAGAAAAAACTAGTTAAGAAAGTTATTTTTCGCCAAAAAATCTGTTTGCGGCTAGTTGGTATTTCGGTCGAAATAAAAAATAAATCAGTGCCATCAGTTTGGGTTTTTTGCCCAACATCATCAAATTGTCCTCAAAACATTCAGGAAATCGGACTAAAAACATAAGTTAAAATTATCAAAGGTAATACAATTAAATTAGGAAAGACGCAAGCAAAAAAATCGTTAACATTGCTGATTTTTGGGTTAATTCACTTAGTATAATGCTCGCCTCTCCCTCCCACAATTTCGTTTACTTCTATTTTTTGCGTACCGAGAAATCACTTGTTTTCTCCTGCGCTAAGCACAACAAGAATTAAAAAAAGAATTATAACAGCCAAATGTAAAAATAAGACTGCTCAGGTGCTTCATTTGCTAAAAACTCTTTTTAAAAAATAATTGTAATTCTTTCTAATATTCATTTTAATTATTAAATACTAAATCCACGTTTGTCCCTTTTTAACCTTAATTTTATCATGGAGAACTAGTTTATTATACATTTCCTCAATGTCATCGGGCTTTTTGCCGGTATAAACTATTTTACCTTTATCGATTAAAGTAGTTGAGTCCACTAATTTTTGTAAATCTGATAAAATGTGGCTGGAAATTAACACTGTGCCACCTCTTTTTCGCACTTGTTCTAATTGTTTTAGTAAAATGCCACGATAAGAAGGGTCCAGACCGGAAGTTGGTTCATCCAGCACCAAAATATCTGGGTCATGCATTACCGAAACAAAATAAAGTAAAATTTTTTTTCAACCAGTTGATAATTCACCACATTTTTTAAAGCGGTGATTATTTAAGTCGGATTGTCGCAAGCGATTTTCTACTTTTTGAGCGGGAATGTTCCGCAACTGACCGGCTAAATGAATAAAATCCTCTACTTTTAGGTCCTCGGTAAACTTGGCCTGTTCGGTCATGAAACCGATTTTTTGGTTAACTAATTCATCCTCACCAATTTTTCTACTTTCTAAATAGATTTCACCACCATTTGGTTTTACCCCGCTCATTAAACAATTTAAAGTAGTTGTTTTGCCTGCTCCATTGGGACCAATAAATCCATGAATACTACCTTTTTGGACGGTAAAACTAATATTTCGCAATACTGTCTTGCCTCGATAGACCTTTTTTAGTTTTTTGATTTCAATAACGTTTTGTGTCATTATTTTTCTCTAATCTATAACCTATTTTATAACTCAAAAGTCAATTTCCTTAAAATATATTTAATAAGTCTTATGTTAATATTAAGAATAATCCTTTGAATTTTAGGAATAGCGATTATAATTTGTTCTTTTTTCTTTGGCGAAGAAGATAGTTTTTCTCCCGCTCAGGAAAGAAAAGAGAACATTTACAAAGCCACTCATTTTACTAAATTAACTAATTTCATTCGTAATATTTATATGGTATTGTTAGCAGTATTTATCTCACTGACTTTTCTTTTGCCTAATGCTAAGGCTTAATTCTTTTTTTTCTTTTTCTTAAAGTATAAATAAAGGACTATAACCATAATAAAAATTAAAACTCCGCCAATACCAATAACTGCTCCCCAATTATAATAAGAAGGAGGAACAATAGCAGTTCCCTCAACATTTATACTTTCTCCTTTTTCATGCTTTTTAATTGCTTCTTTTAATGACCTTTTGGCTTGTTTAATTATTCTTTTGGCATTTTTATCATAACTGGCTCCGCGAAACTTGCCACCGAAAGCCGTAATAACACCGTTTTGTAAAGACTGTAAGCATTTCTTTGCTCCTTCAATGTTTTCTACCTCTAACACTTTTCCTTGCCATCCTTGTCGAAAAAAAGTCTTTTTTCAACCATTAGATTTTAACCCCAACCTTTCACTTGCTTCGGTTATATGTCAACGATAATCGGCCCATCAGACTTTATTAGGGGTTTGGTATTTTCAAGAAAAATTCATTAGCAATGTTTTTTATGACTTAATTATATATATTAATTTTTGTAAAGCGAAAATGCCTCCTGGTGATAAGAAAATCAGGATTATAAATTACCAAAACTACTACTGACAACTCTCACAATCGCTATTTAATAAACATTCTTGATTGCTCCGTTTTTGCGTAAATCCAAATTTGGCTGCATCTAAGGTGGAACTTTCAATTCGACTAGCCCCAAGAGTCCGTAAATAATAGGTGGTTTTTAAACCTTTTTCCCAGGCCAAGAAATAAATATCATGAAGTTTCTGACCTGAAACTCCCTTCATAAAAACATTATGACTAACACTCTGGTCGATTCATTTGCCTCGCACGGCAGCAATCTCCATCATTCACAAGGGGTCAATTTCAAAAACTCCCCGATATTTTTCCTTTAAATGTTGGGGAATAGTTGGTATATTTTGAATACTACCCTCGTAATATTTAATCTGGTCTATTATGTCTTGTTTTCATAAATCCAGTTTTTTTAAATCATCCACTAGGTACTTATTAACTACTGTAAATTCTCCCGCCACATTTGATTTTACATAAATATTGCTATATATGGCCTCAATACAAGGATAGCAACCAGCAATGTTAGCAATCGTGGCCGTGGGAGCAATCGCCATGGTATTAGAATTTCGCATTCCGTATTTTTTTACTTGCTCTTTTAAGATTTCTCAATTTAATTTACTTTGCCGATTAGTTTTTATTGGTAAGCCTCGCTCTTTTTCCAACAAATTTAAAGTGTCAAGAGGGAAGAGTCCACGGTCCCATTTTGAACCCTGATAACTGGCATAAGTTCCTCTTTCACGGGCCAATTGACAAGAAGCAGAAATAGCAGAATAAGAAAATTTTTCGGTTAACTGGTCGGTGAATTCCAAGGCTTCCGGCGAATTATAGTTAATATTCAATTGAAAAAGGGCGTCCTGAAAACCCATCATCCCCAGGCCAATTGGCCGATGTTGAAAATTAGAATATTTAGCTTCTTTGGTTGGATAATAATTGAGGTCAATGACATTATCAAGCATGCGGATAGCAGTAGTAATAGTTTCTTGGAACAAATTGTCATCTAATTTTCCTTCCCTAATATGACGAGCCAAATTGACTGAGCCAAGATTACAAACTGCTGTTTCTTGCGCGGAAGTGTTAAGCGTGATTTCCGTACAAAGATTAGAGCAATGAACTACTCCACAATGGTCTTGGGGAGAACGAATATTACAACTATCTTTAAAAGTAACTCAGGGATAGCCCGTTTCAAAGAGCCGAGTAAGTAATTTTCGCCACAAACTAATTGCTGAGATTTTTTGGGTTAATTGGAGATTTCCTTTTTCTGCTTCCTGCTCGTAATAAATATACCTTTCCTCAAATCTTTTTCCATAAAGGTGATGTAAATCAGGCGTTTCGGAGGGAGAAAAAAGGGTTCACATTCCCTTTTCCTTCACTCTTTTCATAAATAAGTCAGGTATTCAAGTTGCCAGATTTAATTCGTGGGTTCTTCTTCTTTCATCGCCCACATTTCGACGCAAATCTAAAAAGTCCTCAATTTCCAAATGTCAGACCTCTAAATAAGCCACGCTCGCACCTCGCCTTCTTCCCGAGCGGTTAATGGCCCCCGTAGTATCATTCGCCAATTTCAAAAAAGGAATTAGACCAGTGCTTTCCGTCGCAATACTTTTAATTGGCGAACCAAGGGCCCGTAAATTAGTCCAGTCCGTCGCTACCCCACCTGAATATTTTAATAAATTGGCTTTATCACCTAAGGATTTAAAAATATGATTCAGGTCATCGTCAACGGTGGTTAAAAAACAAGAACTTAATTGAGCCCGCTCTAGTCCCGCATGAAAGAGAGTGGGAGTGCTGGGCACAAGACGTAAACCAGAAATAAGATTATAAAACTCAATCGCTCTTTCATTCTTGCTTGATTCATTTATTGCTAAGCCCATGGCAACCCGCATTCAAAAAAATTGCGGAACTTCGTAAAGGACATTATCTCGACGAAGCAAATAACGGCCAGTCAAAGTTTCTAATCCGAGATAATTAAACAATTTGTCCCGTTCTGGGACTAATGCTTGGCTTAATTTTTCTAAGTCAAATTCCAACAAACGCTTATCAAGAATGCCTTTTTCCACCAACAATTTAATATTATTAATAAAAAGTTGTTGATAAATAGTCTTGTTGGGTAAAGTCTCCGCAAACACTTCCCAATAAGTTTTTTGAAGTAAAAAATGACTGGCTAATTTATCATAAGCAGGGTCTTTTTCCAACAAACTAGTGGCAGTCAATAGAACTACTTTAAATATTTCTCCCGTGGAAATATCGGAATTAATATTTTTCTCTATTTCTTGATAGAAAATGTTTCTATCTATCTTATTTTCTGCCCCTAATATTTGGTTGACGATACTAATTATTTCTTCTTTTTTATTAGTAGCAAGCGGGGAAGTCATTTTTTATTTTACAAGAAATAGAGAAAAGGAGGACAAATTTTCATTGTCCTCCTTAATAATTTCAACTAATTTTTTTTACTTTATCAACTTAAAGAAAGTATTAATGATTATTCCTCATCACTACCTTCACCTTCTTCACTGCTGTTAGTTTTGATGAAGTAAGCAACTAATCCAACTACTAATACTATACCCACAAGAATTCCCAATATACCATATCACTCTTTCCACCATGGCTTCTCTGGTTTATTGCCACCTCCCGTATTATCTTTTTTTTCATCTTTCTTTTTTTGCAACTCTGTTTTTCGTGCTTCTAATTTACTTTTCCAGTTGCTCAAGACGGTGTCAACCTTAAAATCAGAATCTACACTTTCTACCTCTTTCAACTTCTTTTTAATTTGACCTATTGTATTAGTGTCCGTATCCTTAGCCTTGATTAATTTTTCTAACTCTTCAATATGCTTTTTAATATCTGTTAAACTCTCATCTAATTTATCCTCGCTATCGCTGTATTCAGAAGTGCTTTCCAAACTAAATATTTTGTAAAATAATTTTCCTTCATCACTCGTTTCCTTTTTAAGAGCCACAGCGGCTTCGAGTCGACTTTTATCATCTTTATCAAGACCTTTAACATTATCTTTTACATCTTTCACCGTATCACATTCCAACCCCTCTTTTCAAGTTTTACTTCGCTTTTCTTTACCATTACTTGCTTTATCTAACGACTCATCCGCATAATTTTTGGCGTCGCCGGTTTTTTTGTATCTATTAACTTGGGTTCAAGCATTTTTTTTCTCAGTAGAAGCGTCAGTAGCAGTATATTCTTCTAATTCTTTTTTCAAGTCAACTACTCGACTGCTTGCCACTGTACCATGAGCCTCTTGGCAGAGTTTAAATAATTTTTTAATTTCGTTGACTAATTTAATGCTTTCCTGATTTTTAATGGCAATAGCAGTTACCGCTGCATCCCCTTCCTTCTTTATTTCATCTTCAGCTAATTTTATCGCATCAGTTAATTTTTTTATTTCTGTATCTGCCACCTTATCCGCTCAACCATTAGGTTTGTATTCATCAATGCCCTTAGTATGGTCATTGACAAACTTTCAAGCTGCTTTTTGATCATCAGTACCATTTAAATTTGATTTCCAAGTCTTCGGAGTGTCTCCGCCTGGGCCAGTTTTTCTCAATTCCTTAATTAGAGCATCCAAGGCATTAAAAAGACTATCCGTTTTTTTAGTGGTTGTGCTATCACTTAACTTTTTAAATTCCTCATAGATTTTCTTTATATTTTTATTGTCATTATTATCACTTATGGCTTTTTCCAATTCAGCAACTTTTGTAAAACCTCCTGTAGGAGAATCATTACCTAAATTTGATTCAACTTCGCTTATTATGTCATTTAATGTTTTATCAACATTTTTTTTGTTAATCCAAAAACTAACTAATTCATCTTTTCACGCTTCATTATTGCCCGTGGCTTGGTATTTTTGAACTTTTGCTTTTCAAGCAGCAAAATCTGCTTTTTTAGTAGGTCTGTTTACAAAAACAGTGTTAACAAATTCTTGGGTATAATTATGGGCAGCATTTAATTTATCCAGCAATTCAATTTTGGTTTTAGTATTACCATGATATTTAGTTGGGTCAGTAGTTGGATTATCATGTTTTAACTTCACAACTTGATCATATGTCAAATTGTCAGTAACGAGATGAATTAATGAAGATGCTAAGTCTGATCTAATAACTTTTCAATACATTTCTAAATGTTCAGCCGGAGTTTTGTTATCTACCTCCGCAAAGTTATTATTAGTGAAAGCTATTCGAATAATGTCATCAGTATTATCAGCAGTACCATCAGTTGCCAAATGTAAAATATCAAAGCATTTTTTAGTTAAATCAGCATGAGACGTAGTATTGTCACTTGTTTTAGGAGTTTTATCATCATTATATTCTGTTGTTACAACAACTTTAGTACCATCATCACCATAATTAAAACCAGTCGTGCCATGAATTGTATGCGTTCCATTGGCCCTTATGTCGCCAGGTTGAAATCCCCGTAGCTTTTTTCGGTCAGAAATTTCGGCATAGTTAGCGTGACCAAAGTATTTATCGCTACTATTGTTAAACCGAAAATTGTTAATTTTTACTCTATAACGAGTTCCATCAGATTCAGCATTTTTGCCAAAAATTTCCCGAGAACGTACATTTTTATTTAAGTTAGTAGGATTAAAGGTAGTACTATCAGCCGCCGCTCCTACTTTGGCTCCCTCAGTGATATCAAAACCTTTATATTTACCATCTTTAATATCATTTAAGTTAGTGATGGTTCTTGTGACTGCAGTACCAGCAAAATTGTCTAATAATCTAAGAGTATTTTCCAAAACAAATCCATTGGCGTTGGCCTTCAAAATTTGCTCAACCTTATTAAATTTGGCATTTTCAACTCATTTTTTTGCTTCGTTCAGAAAACTAACTCACTGGTCTACCTGACTTTTGTAAATTTTACCACCACCCCAAGCGTCTAAATCATAAATTGCTCTTTCAATTTCTGTTCCAGCAGGTGTTGCTGCCGCAGTGTCTTTATATTTTTCAAGTTTATCTATGTCTATCTGAATATTAGCCGCAGTTTTTAAATCAGTAGCGTAGTCAGTTTTTAGAGTTGAAAGTAAAGTTTCTAACTCATCCAGTTTAGCAACCTCGGCCTCATATTTTTCATCTGGATTGTCATAAGCATTTCTCTTGTGGTCAAAAATATCAAAATTTTTGCTTATATCAAAATCTCCATTGACATAAGCATCCTTAGCCAACGTAATTGCATTAGCATTAATAGTATTATCAAGTTCACTACTTTCAGGAGCTGTATCTTTACGTTTTATTTCCTTAATGCTTATTTGAAAGAAATTAGTGGCAGTGTCCTTGGTTTGTTTTTTTTTCAGTGCTACCAACTTTTCAACCCTTTTTGCCACTTCTTCAGTTCCAGCATCTAAGTAAATGCTTTGAACAGCAGCTTTTTTGAATTTATTTCCTCAATTTGCCTTGGACTCAAAATCTTTATCTTCACTTCCATCTCAACCAACACTATCATCACCTGATTTAATTACATTGTCTTCTGCTATTAAATAAGTTAAATCTCGACCATTAGCAGCATTATCAATATCTATTTTAAGAACACTACCTGTCCGGGTTATTCCGCTTGCTTTTGTTTTTATTGTTAGTCTTGCCTTTTCATTCATATGCGTATATATTTATATTTTAATTTATTTTAATTTATTTTAATTTATTTTAATTTATTTTAATTTATTTTAATTTATTTTAATTTATTTTAACTCGTGTTTGTTTTCATAGGTATAATATATCATATTATTTATTATTTTACAGTCACCAAAACACTTAATTTTTGTTTTTTGGCTTCTACGGCTAAGGCTTGACTTAAAGTTGATTTTCCGACCCCTCCTTTTTGGGAGATAAAGGCGATAATTGTCATTCTGTAAACTAAAAACTTTTTCTTTTGCTTTCGCTAGGATGACCGAAATGCTTCACTAAATCCAACACAACCATTAATTTTTTATCAATGTTTTCCATTTCCGCTTCGGTTAAACTGCCTTGCTTTTCTCCCAATAATCTTTCTACATCCACCGCTCGCACTTGTTCGCATTTGGCTTTACCAGGCTTGCCTTGGAAGTAAGTCGGAGCCTGAAAAGAAAATTTAAGATTATGAACTTTGCTTGACAGAGGAACGATCACCACTACTTTGGAATGTTCGTTTTGCTTATTATTAGAAACTACTACCACTAAACGCCGTTCACTATCCTTATCGTTTTTTTGCTCGTGGCCTTGGGCGTCATCCAAATTAGCATAATAGACCTCTCCTCTTTTAATATACTCTATTCTCCACGAGCATCTTTTCATTCGTCAGGGTCATTGGCTCAATCTTGGTAGTCTTTGGCTACTTGTTTGTCAAACTCCTCCTTGGTTAATTCTTTGTCTTGAATTATCTCATTATAAATAACTTGGTAATCCACTTTTTTTTCTGCTAAAAGAGATTTTATTTTTTTTGCTTCGGCTGTTTTAATTAGTAATATTTCTTTCATACTCTTTTAATTTTTAATAACATAGAGGAAGTTTGGCAAACTTTCATATATTATAATTTATAGGCAAAA